GTCGCACCTGTAGTTGATGTCAATGGGGAGTGAACGGATTTGTACAACTGGTGAATGAACACGTGCTAAGATGGTTTATTGATTTTGTAATAATTGTACTCAGCGCAGCGTCGCTGGAAGGTGTCGGCATGGAATTTCCACAGGCGAGTTATTTCCTAGGAGCAAGTTAGCGATTGCGCGGTGTTGACGAAGCTTCTACGAAGAATTCGATTGGCTATCCAGTAAAAGGTCGAACCTATGAATGTGGCTAGTGATTCAGAGCGTTCATGAAATGGTTAACAGGAAGATTTTAAGGAATTTGGCGGGTCGATTGTGCGAGATCGCGTCAATGAGGAAGAAGGAATCTTGGAGGTATCCAGGGTTATGTAATTATAGCTCCAAGCTAAGTGGGAGAGCCCCACCGTCTACGATTGGATTGCATGGTTGTCTACTTGTAAGGTTTCTGGTTATCAGCATATTGGTGGGTTATTAATACTAAGGAAAGAAAACATCAGTGGTAATTTGAGCAAAGGATATGGGAAATGTATGTTATATTTGGCCTTATCAATTCATGTTAAGGCTTTGGGAAGACTTAGAGTTTATGCTTCATGTAGATGTGATGTACAAGGAAAGTGATTCAGCCGGGTGATTCTTTGAGAGAGTGTTCATGTGCTAGTAGAGCCTTGGAGTTGATTATATTCGGGTCCAGGTCGGAGTGGGTGACTCTCAACAACGGTCCTAGTGGATTCAAAAGTTAAAGTGCGGTGCCTAAGGATTTTGAGTCTGTAGTATGGTTAAGTATCGAGCTTTTGCAGCGAATTATAAAAGGGGTTTGGAGTGTTCTATGTTATCTTCGGTCTGTGGTGTAGCATTAGAGGAATGAGAGAAAATAACTTCGGATTCATTAAGAAATTATCAGAATAGGTGTACCAGCTGAAGATGCGAACGTGCACACAAGGAGTGTATGAGATGGTTCCTGGGTTTTGAGATAATGTGATCTCGTGAAATAGGGTCAATCAGGACGAGTGCGGATTTGGTTCGTTACGTTTGAATGAAGCTATTATTATTATTATTATTATTTCTAAGGCAAGTAGAGAATAAATTGGAAGAAGCTGGGTCAGTTAGTAACGGTTGAATTAGCATGGTTATGGCAATGATCAGTTTCTTTAGCGTGAAGTTATACATGTAGTTTGTGGTTGTACACTTGGGCTTGAGCGCCACTGCCACTTGGTTGATTTGGGAGGTATTTGATTCGAATGGCTTTGTTGTGTAAATGGATCCCGGAAGAGTTATGGCGGCTTAGATCACGACTTGAGGTTTGTATTTTCTATGGGTTGAGAATTCAATTATGTGGTGCATTGGTTCTTACATAACGAGCTAAGTGAAAGGTTTCTAGCCAATGAAGTGGTTATCCCACTAGTAGTTCGAGGGTTATGGTAAACATGTGTATTATCGCGTAGCGGCATGATAGATGCAGTGAGCGGCATGGGAACTGGAAGTTGAAGGTCAAGGTTGCGGTTCAGTGTTGATAGAATGTCACGAGCTCGGATGAGTAGGGGTGAATTCAGATGTTCAGAGTAAGCTGTCATTTTCTTTAATGTAACCTGAGAATGGTGTTCTATGGAAGAGGCTTTGTGCATTGACTTGCGAATTATTTTTTATTCGCTTTACAGAATTAGAACGGTTGGTGGTATGGATGAGCAGACTTTGCTACCTGAGTGAAGATCATGGGAGCGAGGCCCACGGGGGAGATTTGTATGAGCGTAACATGTTAGTCACTTGATTGTTAAAGATTGAAACCAAGTATGGAGATTATGGTCATATCGCTAATGTGAGAAATTAAGCCTGGAAAGCGCTCTATTCATTTGGTTGTGAACTGTGGAAGTTTATTCCAGGTTTGACAGTTGTTCTTGTGTGTCATGGGAAAATGGGGGTATTATGGATCCTTATAAGGTTATTAGCCTAGTGTTGTACGATCAGAATCGGCAGGAGGTCTGTGGATGGACCTAAATGTGAATGTGAGCTCTATATCAGGCCGGATATGTTCATTTCAGCATAGCGTTGTTTACAGAGAAGTCTTCGGGCCTTGGATGTTATTTCTGTCGTCACATATTCCATGTAATACTTTATTGTGCCATGTGGGTTGCGAGATGACTTGATTATTCGCACATGTGTTATGGTCCCGTGTAGCTTGCAGTGTTATATGAGCAGGATGGCTCTCGAGATGCAGGTCATTTATTTCACCTTAGTCGTGCTTGAGTTTTGTAACGTATGGCGCTATCTGTCTCCCATGGATGGCATTATGTACTTGGCGTGCTTGTGGTCGACATTCGGTATTTTTTAAGTATGAGAATTCTAGCTCGGTAAGTATTTCCTTATAGATTATTATGTGTGGATCGGGTGGTACGCAACCACGGATAGTTTGTTTGGATCGGGTGGCACGCCGCCATGATATCATAGTTTGATCGGGTTACACGCCGCAATGGTATCATGGTTGGATCGGGTTGCACGCCGCAATGGTATCATGGTTGGATAGGGTTGCACACCGCAACGATATCATATGGGGATCATGTTGCATGCCGCAACAGTGTGATGTTGAGTACAGTTCCCCATATCTATTCTGGTGTGTCTTGTTTCTCATGTTCCAAGGAAGGTTCATGACATCTTTTCAGTTGTTTAATTAGTTACGTGGGTTGAGTAGTTCCTTCTAGGGTTCGATTTTCTTATGTATCACATTAGAGTTGGTAGCTTTTTGGCACGTTGTTGTATCATATGAGACCTTTGACAGTGTCTGAGATAGCTTATTGCCTGAGTGGCTTGTACTGGGAGAGACGAGATTATTGGACCTGGGATCAGTGCGATCGGATGTATATAAGGCATAGTAAAGAGAAAATATTGTTATTTGGTTCACGATGGGGTAATGGTTCTTGTCAGGAGGAGAGACTCAATGATTTGTGACTCGGCGGTTGGTTATGAACTTCTACACATCTTTTTCATCGTAGCAGTATTGTAAGAGTTGGAACATGACTTATATGTGTCATGAGGTGTGTTGTGGGCATCTGATTCGTGGAATTGTGGCTATTGTTGTCAGAGGATATTATTATGGTCATATGAATTATGCGGTGCATGATATGAATTCAGAACAGGTATACAATCATGTCTTGGTACAATATGTAGTGACTGATGCGGTGTTCGTATGTTGAAAACAGGCCGATGGAGAATTCTGGATGTTGGAATTTGGCTCTAAGGCTTATTTGACTAAATAAAAGGGAGGATCTTCGGACTTGCTTAAGCTAATGTGCTCAACTGGGTTGTGGTCGGGTAGGTGCACGAGGTGTTGGTCAATGATTTCGGCAAATTCCGGAGCAGTTCTTAGCACGTTCGAAGACGAACATATGTTTAAGTGGGAGAGAATGTAACGACTCGACCGGTCGTTTTGATCTCTAACACGTCGTTCAGCGGTATGAGACCATGAGTAGCTTCACTTCAAGTATTATGACTTATACGTGTGGTCGGAATTAAAATTCGGGAAGTTCGGAGTTGATTTGGAAAGAAAATTCTAATTTTAGAAGCTTTAGATTGGAGAAATTAACTAATGTTTGACTTTTGAATAAATAACCTCGGAATCAGAATTTGAAAGTTCCAATAGGTTCGTACGATGATTTTGGACTTGGGCGTATGTTCATATCAGGTTTTGGATGACCCGAGAGCGTTTCAGCACCTATTGTGGGAAGTTGGCATTTTGGAGTGATTTCATAAATTTGGGTTGAAGTGTATCTTAATTCTATCAGTGTCCGTTTGGGATTTCGAGCCTGGAAATAGCTCCGTACGGTGATTCTGGTCTTAGGAGCGCGTCCAGATGTAGATTTGGAGGTCTATACGTCATTTTGGGGACACTTGGCGGAAGTTGAAAATTGAAGGTTTTTGAAAAGTTTGACCGGGAGTGAATTTTTTTGATATCGAGTTCGGATTCCGATTTCGAAAGTTGGAGTAGGTCTTTAATGTCAAATGTGACTTGTGTGCAAAATTTGAGGTCAATCAGATGTGATTTGATAAGTTTCGTCATCGAATGTAGAAATTTGAAGTTCTAAAGTTCATTAAGCTCGAATTGGGATTCGATTCATGGTTTTAGCACTGTTTGAAGTGATTTGAAGGCTCGACTAAGTTCGTAATGTATTTTGGGACATGTTGGTATTATTGGTTGAGGTCTCAAGGGCCTCGGGTAGATTCCAAATGGTAAACAGATCAATTTTTGGACTTAGGGAATGCTGAGGCACCTAGTGTCTGGTGTAATTGCACCTGCCAGGTTTTGGCCGCAGGTGCGGAGCCGCAGAAGTGGCCAAGAGTGGGCGGAGAAGCAGAATTCGCTGGGGGAGGCTGGGACCGCAGATGCGGTCAAGTTCCGCAGAAGCGGGACTGCGCCCGAAGAGACGCAGTAACGAAGGCGCAGAAGCGCTGCCGGGCCGCAGATACGGGAAATGAGGGGCCTGAAGGAGGACCGCAAAAGCGGTATTTTGGCCGCACCTGCGGAACCGCATAAGCGGTCAAGTGATCGCAGGTGCGAGATGTCGCTGGGCAGTAGAATTCTTTAAGAACGAGATTTGGCCCATTTTCTTTCATTCTTTCTTGGTTGGGCGATTTTGAGGAGTTTCAAGTAGAAGTTTTCGTCATCTATGGCAAGGTAAGTTATTCCCACTTATTATAAGTTAAATACATAGACTATGTAAGGATTTAAGCATTTAAATTTGAAGAAATTGGGATTTTTGGTATAAAATCTAAAAAATTAGCATTTTTGGATTTTGACCACGATTTTGGAAATGGAATTAAGAATATATATATATATATATATATAAAAGAGGGACTTAAAAGAATGATGTGGCAATTCCTATGAGCAACATTTCTATTTATCTCTTTTCTCCTTTTTCTTGTATTTCTCCTCTTTTTTATGCCGGTTCGGTGTTGTAATAAAAACTCCAAAAGCCGCATGTCAAAGACCCCGTAACTGCCAGAATAAAGGGCCATCACTTCCTTCCAATATTATATATTACTCAAAGCAGACTTTTTCTCCACCCTCTCTCGAAACCGATGACACGATTTTCTTCCCACTGATAGTCAATCACTTTTCTTTCCATTTAAAATCAGAGTAAGAGCACAAATTTTCAACCGGTAGTACCTTCCCTCTCTGTTGCTGCATCTTCTTATCCTCCTTTTTCCTTTTTCCTTCTCCCTTTTTCATTTGAGAGTTCCATCTCTGTCTTTTGATGTTCAAATTATTTTTGCAGATTTGATTCATTATCTTTATTGGTCTAATGTGCCGTGCTTTGTCAAATTTTGCAACTTTGTTGTTCAAATTTGTCTCACTGATTTGCTCAAACGAATCACTTATTTCCTCTTTTCAGGTTTCAGGAATCGCTCTCTACATCAAATCTCGGTTCTCTCGGTCAACATTCTGAGCAAAGCTAATCTACCCATTTAAGCTTTCTGATTTCAAGTGCTTTTTGTATGTGTTTAACTACTTTGGTGAAACACTTAACTTATTCTCTTTTATCATGTTAATTAATTCCTTATTCCCTCTCATATTTTGATTATTTATACCTTTGTGATAGAGATGTGGCCGAGGGCAAAACAAGGGCCTATAACAGACATTCTTGGAACTTCTATTGGTTCATCATTTATACTTAACGTATTATTTTCGTCTGCTTTTTGTGTTAGTTATTTTATGAATCATTTAGGGAAAATGCTTTATTGTTGTTGGTGACGCCTTTCAACTGTTAGAGAGACTTATTTTGCCTATTATGTAATATGGATTCTACATTTTAATTTTGATGTTAGGAGATAAATTTGACGTTATTGGCAGCAAGTGTCGCCCTCTTAGCTACCTGTTTATGTCATACTGGATTTTTATATATGGCAAGTGTTAGTATAAGAGAATTTATGCATCTTAAAATATATCAGTTTAAGTACCACGTCGAGGAAACAGGACAACTCAAACTAATTCAATGCCATGTCATTGCGCGTGCAGCTCACTGCTGCTAATCACTTGCTAACAACTCAAAATGATATGACAAGGGTTGGATAGCTTGTGACTTTTTATCTGTTACACCTCAGAAGGTTGATAATGTATAGAAATTACTGTTATTTTTCTGGAATTTCTCATGTGGAGAATGTAAACCATAAGAAGAGGGCCAAGGCACTTGGAGCAAATGTAAAGAAGTTGTGTCGTCAGTAGAACCTTCAACACACCACAACCACCATCATGCAAAAATTAAAGTAAGAACCATTTCATCATTCTTGGACTTAAGGATCAACGTCATAAAAATATTAATCGTAATTTTTCCTACAGCGCTCCGTGGCTTTTTTTTTTTATCTTTGTCATAGGAATAGAACAATTTACTGAATTTTCTGAAAGAGGGCCTTATTATTAAGCAGCAGAAACTAAGCAATTCCTTCAAAGCCAGGGAAGAGCTGGCTTGCTTCCTCCAAACTAATGGAAGAAGCTCCTGCATTAATTAATATTGACAATGAGTAAATACGGGAGAACAAGTTGAAGATTAGTATTTCTATTTAATGTGCTTAGGAGGAATACCAATGTAACTGTGGATAGACCAAATTGTTATTGGCATATTGTTGCTCCAATTCTTTAATTTTTGTCAATTGATATTGGTTTTCTCATCATATGGAATATCTGATATAGGGTGCTGGAATGACAAGATCAAATCCGATATTGCAGTCTCAGCAGCTGAAAAAAGCACTTGAGCAGCTCAAACACAATGAATTCACTGGAAAGAGAACTGCAAGATAATTTCTTAATGTTTCAAATGTATTTAAAGAGGGAAAAAATTAAAAGTTTAATTCAGTCCTTTAAAATTCAAAGCATTCAAATGGCAATAAAGTATGTAGAATGAGGGGAATAATTCTATATAAAGAAGAATATCTCATTAAATTAACATGTGATTTGTTATCTTGTAGAATAATTTTTTTCCCCATCTTTTACTTCTAAAAGCTGTTAGCCACAAAATGTTAGACAATGATAGATAGAATCAAGAAGGCATTAGTCAACTCATGCTCTTTTCTCCTTATTTCTTTTCTGTTCTACGTATGTACTTGATTTGTGTTTCTTTTTTATGAGTAGTTCTAATATATAAATTTAGTTTTGTTGGTATGAGACCTTGGAATTATTGGCCATCAGGACACTTACCAACTTATGATGCCTTTGTATTTCTATATCAGCTTGGACAATGTAACTATGGTACGTATTTAAAAAAATAATCAATGATTTGCTTAACAAAAGGATGTCATACTCTGTTAGTAGCATTTTGGATTGACACCCCTTGGGAAAGTTGAAATGCATACATTATCGTGATAGGCTAACGCAATGTGATGTTGCATTACTCATTCATTGTTCCTAATTACTATTCAAATTTTAAGAATGAGCATGTCTACACGAGTATTTCTATGTTAGAGTACCTAATGGACTTTGTGCCCATCAGACAATCTGCCTCGGCATGTTAACTGTACAAATAACTTTCCTTTCTTGATAACCACCATTACTAACCATTATAATCTGACATTTTTGTGGGACTTTTAAGCTATTGAAACTAATTCCTTTGTTATCTGGGATTTTTCTGAAGAGTGGTATGATAGAGGTCATTGACAAAGGAGTATACATGTGTATCATAAAACTGTTAGAACAAATCATAAAGATCTAACTTATCTGATGGACATGTCGTTAAACTTCAGTTCTCTGTTTTAGATTTTGGATTGGGTCCGTATTTAGCACTGCTAACCCCCACTAATATTTACAAAATGCATAAAAATAAAATAAATTACATTATTAATAGCTTATAGTACTATTTAAGGAATGGTTCGAAAAATATAGTTCTAAAAGAATCTATCAACTTCTCATTTTATAACTAATCTAAAAAATAATTGTTCTATAAATATACTAATGTTATTTAACAACCGCGCGAAGCGCGGCAAGTTTACTAGTACATTATATATTTGAGTTCGTGGTGTTATGGGTAATGTTTACCTTCGAAAAGTTTTTGAAAATCGGGCACGTGGGCCCGAGGATGATTTCTATCGACTTTTCGAGCGGAGTTGGAAATTATTGTAAATTGGATTGTAATGAGTATTATAGTATATATTTATGGATTTGTATATTTATTGACTAGTTTTGGAGCGTTGGGCATCAGTTTGAGTTGTTGAAAAGGCTTGGGAGCCGGTAATGGAATTTCGGAGCGAGGTAAGTCTCTTTTCTAACCTTGTAAGAGGGAATTAACCCCATAGGTGAATTGATTAATATGTGCTACTATTTGTGGGGGAGATACATACGCACAAGGTGACGGGAGTCTGTACGTAGCTACTAATTATGCTATTATCCGGGTAGTCTATGACCCATATCATGTTATACTTACAATGTTTGCCCCTACTTGATAACTTAATTGCTTAAGTCATATTGAAATTTGCTAAAAGAATCGTAAAGGGTTAAATTTCACTTACTTGAAGTTGTGAATGGGACACTTGACTATTGTTGAGAATTTTATGTTTCTTAAAGTACTTTTCTTTTGTGGAGTGGGCCGAACGCCTCGGTAGCAGATAAATGCATCTATGGTTTGCGTCGCTCGACCCTCGGCAGTGCACAGTTTAAATATTTATGTTGGATCGGTTCGTACGACCTCGACATGATTTGCGCATGATAAATCTTTGGAATTAATAATAATTGTTATTGCTTCTTTGGCCTGAGATACGAAATGTTAAATGACGAAAAATAAATTTAAAAATTTCCTATTAACAAAAGAATTGTTTACTTACTTTATGTTATTGAGTTTACAGTCGTTCTATACAATCCATGCTTAATTATAATATCGGTACTTTATTGATAGCCCATAGTAAGTATCGGAGTCGACCCCTCATCACTACTTCTTCGAGGTTAGACTGGATACTTACTAGGTATGCGTTGATTTTATACTCATACTACACTTGCTGCACATTTTTATGTAGGTGCATATATGTCTAGTGGACTTGTGGGCGCATAGGCGCGATTATTGCGGGGACTTAGGTGAGTTGCATTCCACGTTACGAGTCCGCAGTACGCACAGAGTCTCCATCCGAGTTATTTGCACACTCCTGTCTAATTGTATCCCCAGACAAATGTAGTATTTTACTGTATTTCCTAGTTGATGCTCATACTTATGACATCGAGTTTTGGGGGTGCTTTTGGGTTGTTCAGTAATGAAGTTGGAATACATATATACATATATATATATATATTGTCATTTACTCTGTAAATTTTATCTCTTACTATTTAATTGAAGAAAATTATGATTTCAAAAATACTAAAATGAGTAATGAAGTTGAAAAAAAAATAAGTAATCGAAGTTGCAAGTTGCAACTGAAAAAGAGTATTTAATAGTGTTTGTTTGAAGTTCCTGAGATTTTTTGAATTTGCAAACTTATATTTTGGAGTTTTTGGAAAAATATACGTTCGAGTTAAATTTTGAAAAATACATTGATAAAAAATATTCGGACTCTGTTTTTTAGAAATTTCAAAACTGATAGGCTCCTAACATTTTATGAATATTTCAATCAGGGGCTTAAACTCTTTATAGTGTCCATTGTCGGAGAAAAAAACTTGTTTTATTTACCTCCATTGTTTTCACTTGTAAATGAGTTGGCATATCATGGAAGAAAAACAATCATAATAGCTCAATAGAAGGGAGTATACTCTTTTGCAAAGATTTTGTTAATGACGAGCCATATAATCAAGATATTACATAGTGCTTTGGGGGCAATAATAGAACACCAACAACAACAATAACACAATAACATATCAAGTAGTACCTTATGAAAATAAAAAGACTGTTTCCAATAGATCATCGGTTTAGGAAGGGACAATAATAGAACAACGATGAAATATATTTGTTCGCAGTAGTGGATCTAGAGTATTGTTATTGGGTTTCCGGAAACCTAATAACTTTTGCGTAGACATTGTATTTCTATCAAGAAGTCCATTAAGTATTTATAAATATCCAACTATGCACCCAATTATTATTGTATATTTATTTGAGATTACGGTAGAATCCATAAATTTCAAATTTTAAATTCACCTCTATTTGTTCGGTCTTATTTTTTATATTGAACTAAACAATTTAATGATATTAATTATACATTAAAGTGAAATATATATATTAACTAATCATATAAGCCACGTGTCTTGCCTTTATTATGCGCGATACAGACACTCGGTGCGAGCAACTATTATTAGAGGAAAAACTATCCATAGATGAAAAGTTAAGGATGCAATTGTACTTTGATTAAACTAAAAGGACCAGTAATGCTTTATGCCATATGTTGTAGACCTTCAGTGCTAAAATCCTTACCTTATCCAGCTGTCCCCCACAAATTTCAAATTTCAAATTCTTTTCCACAGATTCCAAGGTGTCAAGTTTCAAATTCAATCTGACCGTTGATTCAGTAACCGTTGCCTGGAGCTCCGGCTCCGCCGCTCACCCCACCCCATCTCTCTCAAGCCCTAAAATAATTTAAATCTCACTATAAATATCAACCTCCTCTCTGTCCCTACATACCTCTCTTTAATCCCCTTACTTTTCCTCTCTTATTCTCCTTTCTCTCCGTACATTTTCTCCGCTCCTATTTTCAAAATGCGAGAAATCCTTCACATTCAAGGTGGACAATGCGGCAACCAAATCGGTGCCAAGTTTTGGGAAGTAGTTTGTGCCGAACACGGCATTGATTCTACCGGCCGATATGACGGAGATGCAGATCTCCAACTTGAGAGAATCAATGTCTATTACAATGAGGCAACCTGTGGAAGGTTTGTTCCTAGGGCTGTTCTTATGGATCTGGAACCTGGCACCATGGACAGTATCAGATCTGGTCCTTATGGTCAGATCTTTAGGCCTGATAACTTTGTTTTTGGCCAATCTGGTGCTGGTAATAACTGGGCTAAAGGTCATTACACTGAAGGCGCTGAATTAATTGATTCTGTTCTTGATGTCGTTCGTAAGGAAGCTGAAAACTGTGATTGCCTGCAAGGTTTGTTTCTCAACCCGTCCCTCAATGCTTAATTTTTCTCCTTATGATATGCACATTTAACCTTCAATTAATTAAAATGTGTCTTTTCGATCTCTTTATGTAGAAGAAATGTTACATATAGACTATTTTTTAAACTATATTGACTTCAAATATGGGGGAATAATACAACTTAACGGTGACTAAATGGTGGAACTGTTAATAATTTTAGTACATTGTGAAATTCTTGGGCAAATGGATAAAAAATGCACATATTAATTAGTTGAAGGTTAAATGTATTTAGTCGGATAAATTTTGATGTTATGCATGTGTTTTGGTGTTATGGATCTCACAATTTTCAGAGATTTACATGTTTTTGGGTTTTGATTCATGTTTGTTTTTTGGTTTGTTTCAGGATTTCAGGTGTGCCATTCATTGGGTGGAGGAACAGGGTCGGGTATGGGCACCCTTTTGATTTCCAAAATCAGAGAGGAATACCCAGACCGAATGATGCTTACGTTCTCAGTTTTTCCTTCCCCAAAGGTTTCTGACACTGTTGTCGAACCTTACAATGCTACTCTGTCTGTTCATCAACTAGTTGAAAATGCAGATGAATGTATGGTCCTTGACAATGAGGCTTTATATGACATTTGCTTCAGAACTTTAAAGCTCACCACCCCAAGCTGTAAGATCTTTTGGCATCTTGATTTGCCCTTTCTCATGTATTTACTAGTATATACGTTATTGTTTTGTGCTTTTATTAACGATTTTCTTATTGCTTGATGGAACAGTTGGAGATCTGAATCATTTGATATCAGCCACAATGTCTGGTGTCACGTGCTGCTTGCGTTTCCCTGGGCAGTTGAACTCTGATTTAAGGAAGTTAGCTGTGAATTTGATCCCATTCCCAAGGCTCCACTTCTTTATGGTTGGATTTGCGCCTTTGACTTCCCGTGGTTCTCAGCAGTACAGAGCTTTGACAGTTCCCGAGCTAACACAGCAAATGTGGGACTCTAAGAACATGATGTGCGCAGCTGACCCTCGCCATGGAAGATATTTAACTGCATCTGCTATGTTCAGGGGAAAAATGAGCACAAAAGAGGTTGATGAGCAAATGCTCAATGTGCAGAACAAGAACTCTTCCTACTTTGTTGAGTGGATCCCGAACAATGTGAAATCAACTGTTTGTGATATCCCACCTACTGGACTTAAGATGGCGTCGACATTCATTGGGAACTCGACATCAATTCAGGAGATGTTTAGGCGTGTGAGCGAACAGTTCACTGCTATGTTCAGGAGAAAGGCTTTCTTGCATTGGTACACTGGTGAGGGAATGGACGAGATGGAGTTTACTGAGGCTGAAAGTAACATGAATGATCTGGTTTCAGAGTATCAGCAGTACCAAGATGCCACTGCTGATGAGGAGGGAGACTATTATGAGGATGAAGAGGAGGAAGCTCAGGAGGATTAATTTGAAATGCTATTGTGAACTTTGAAATATGAATGAAGCCAAAACCACAACTTCCAGTTGATGTTCTTTTGGCTATGTGATGTAATAGTGCTCTTCAAACTTCAGGCTTTTGTAATATTTCTTTTGGAAGACTACTTGCTATGCTTATACAAGTATTATGTTTCTTGTCTGTTGGTAATAGTACTTGTTTCTTTTGGCTTTGTTTTTAGTTTTAGTCTTGAACAATCTTATCTTGATTGTTAATGTGTTTTATTTTTTGTGATTCCTGCTATCTTTTGCTCTCTGTTTTCATTTTTTGTGATTCCTGCAGCAACTTGTTTGTGCTTCAAGATTGTCCAAAGTGTGTTTGCGTTTCTGCGTACGCACTATACCCTTCCAAGAGATTTTACTGAGCTCTTGTTGTTTCTACTCCATATATTGTTGTCAAAAGTCGTGCTGCTATTTAAGGCTCTGTGTGTTTAAGGCAATTTTGAGAAAGCCAATCTAGTTCTATTATTGATTTTGTTGGAAATCACATTCAGACGAAAGCTTTATCGTCTGGATGAAACTCCTGACAAACTTGGAGTAGGGTAGCTTTCTCACAGCTCGTAATTTCCTTCATTGAGTGCACCGATTTATGGAGCCAGATATTTAGATGTTTTGTTGAGTCAGAATGAATTCGAGCATACAAAGCAGAAAAAAGGCCCAAAATAGTCCAGTATCTTTTGGATTTTAACTCAAAATAATCCTATTTCTTTTTAATAAAGTGGTACATTTTTAATCTCCGATCAAACTTCTGTTAGTTTTTTAACGAAAAGAACCTCACATGCCCATATGAGATTTAATTTCTTAGAAAAGAAAAATTATTCTTTTTGTTGAGCAAGAATTCTTTTTGTTGAGCAAGAACCCGATCAAAACACATTCTTAACCAAATAGTCAAAACCCCGCTGCATAAGTCAGGCTCAATCAATTTGTCTAATGTATGGTAATGTGTGTAGTTGAAGTTGTGCATTTTTTCTTCTGATCATGATATTAAATTAAATATAGGAAACTTTCAGTGAGTTGTATGGAATTGCATCTTATCTGATTCTTGTTATCTTTTGAAGTTGATAACTAAGAAGAAAATTTCCCAATAAATAAAAAGAATAACGAGGATTTTGCACACGGTACCTATAATAAATATAAAATCTAAACTAGACAAATAGCAGTTCCCAGCTTGCAAGTTGCAAAGCTCTCACGAGAAGGGGAAGGGGTATGATATAGTTCATTCAAGGTAGCTTCTGATTACCATCTCCAAGATTTACCAGTGTACATAAGGAATTAAGGTTGTTAAAAGGCTATATACATCAATGAAATTCTTGATAAAATAATTTAGGATTTTTACAGTTAAATGCTAGTTCAATAAGAGGAAGAGCATGAAACTCAAGAATGCAACACCTACTAAATGATCACTTGAAACGTCTTCGATCTGCCATTACTGTACACTTTTTCAAACTAAAGAGTAATTCGACAAGATTAATAGTGTGGTAGTATTTGTTTTCTAAGGAAATAAATCTCATATGTTGGCATGTGAGGTTCTTTCCATTAAAAAAGTAGTAGAAGTTGTGATGGAGACTAAAAATGCACCACTTTATTAAAGAATGTGGATTATTAGTGCTCAATGTAAAAGAAATAGAATTATTTTGAGTTAAAGTCCAAAAATACTGAACTATTTTGGGTCTTTTCTCATACAAAGTACCAGAGGCGGATGCAATGTATTACCTACGGGTTCAACTGAACCCATAACTTTCGACGCGGAGTAGAAATTTGTAAGTAAAAATTCATTAAAATTACAAAAATAGTAGATTTGAACTCATAACTTTAAAAATGTAATGGGTTCAATGTTAAAATTTTTAAAATTAAACCCATAAAATTTAAATTTTGGATCCGCCTCTGCAAAGTACAATGGTAAAGAGGCCTTTTAACAAGATGAAAATGAATATCACAAGGCTTAAATATATACAGTACCCTTGTTCCCTAGTTGCACAGATTCACAACTCACCTCTGTTAACAACAACATACCCGTATAACTATATTGTTAACAGCTTATGTCAACCTCAAAAGCACAGTGGAAAATTTAGGTAGCAGCAATCCAACCAGAGCACCGGTACTATTAATAATTACTTTCTCCGTTCACTTTTACTTGTACAGTATTCTAAAAATAAAATTTTAAATTATTTTCTCAAATACATTAAGAATATGTATAAATTAATATGAATATCATGGTAAATTATGCACTTTATTTATTATTTCTTAAGGGGTGTGCAAAGTATATCTGTGGACAAGTAAAAGTGAACGGAAGGAGTAATTTTCAAAATCACCAGTAAAAGCATATTTAGATAACATGAATAGCAGTATATAAATCTCTGATCATTACGGATTCTTGAAGTTGTTAAGGCAAATCCACCGGAGATATCATACGGTCACTTGTCAAAACATGCTTTGGTCTCACGAGCTTATACGAAGTTGTTTAAGGAGGGAAAGGCGGATGATGGTGATTAAATTGATATCATCTCCAAGATATGCAAGGAACTTTTCTAAACATCGAGCCATTATTAAACACAAAAGCATCAATGCTATTATTGTATAGGCCAAAATCCGTTTTCAGTATATTTAGCGTAATATGACATTAAAAATAGTTATCGGTCTAGCTCGTCCAAGACGTAGCGAGGTCAATGGTCGAGGTGCCGACATGAGCCGTGGTCAAGATATCGATGGTTATCGCAATCAAGATGTTAGCAAGGGTTGGGGTCGAGATCGACTGTTGATGATATGACTTGTAACGGCTAATTTATCAAGATTGGCTACTAAAAGAAAATATTTTAGTGAATATTCCCTCCATTTGTACTATTAAGGTTTCCTAGAAAAAAGGCCCGATATATATAGAAAGAAGAGACAATGATAGGGGCATATAATATTCATTTTTCTGATAAGAACACTTTTGAGAAGGAGACTTTCCTTCTTACAAAAATACAAAGATTACCTTTTTACAAAGATTTTTGTTGATATTGTTCCCTACTTTTCCATCAGATTCGAGTACCGTTCATGCAAATCTTAGATTTATCTGTCAGTCATCACTGTCATGCAAATTATTCGTTAAACCCATCCATTATGGGGTGAATCATTCTCCCTATTTACTTAAATGCTATTTATTGACATTTATTGTTAGTTATATCTTCCTCAATGTTCTTGCTTTAAGTGTATCCTATATTTATTGCCACCAGTCATATACGGAATCTGTCCCAACTAACATACGTCTTAGTGCTTAAATATCTAGAGTTATTATCCTTGACTAGATGTCACGACCCAAAATTCCACCATAGGAGTCGTGATGACACCTAATCTCTAAGACTAGGTAAGCCGATTTCCATTGCATTTTTGAAGCCATTTTTTTTGAATTAAATAAATAATCAAAACTAACAGCAGAAATAATTACAATATACAACCTCCCAAGACTGGTAGTACTGAATCATGAACTCTAACTGAATAAATGGAATGATCACGATGACCGAATATACAATACTATTTGAATACAAATTAACAATATAATGAAATGAAAAGACTCCAAGGGACTGCGACGGCCAAGCAGCTCTACCTTGAATCTTTACGATCGCGCTTTAACTCTACTCAAGTCCGATACCTCCAATGCGTGGCTCTGCACAAAAATGTGTAGAAGTGTAGAGTGAGCATACCAAAGCGGTACCCATTAAGTATCAAGACTAACATTAATGGAGTAGAGATGAGGTACAGTCAAAACACTTACTAGTCTAATAACCAGTGCAATATAATATACAAAATACTAGGAAACAATAACAATAAGAGTAGAATAAAACAACCAGTGATATGCACAATAGACAACAAGAATACCATTAATATCCCTCAATAATTAATAAACACAATTATACCCAATTAAATCAAGTCCTTCAAATAAATGTCTTTTTGAATAAAAATCCTTCCAAATAAATATTTTGAATATAATTCTTTCAATTAAAAATTCACCATGTGACACCTCATTTCATAATCATAAAAAATCCGGGTTTCATCCCATTTTCATATTTTTCGTAAACACGGGTCTCAACCTATTTTCATATTTTCATGGCACCTCATGCCCCATAATTAAATTATCATGTTTTCCCGGATATCCTCAATGTATATAAGGGCACTCCCGAGATACCGCCTCGTAGTCCCAAATCATAAATAAATTCACAATATCTCATTTTCTTATATCACCGTGGGAGCCTTCACATTTAATTTTGAAAGAAATTATTTTTCCCGAAATGGCATCCCACGTTTTAGCCATCCTTATCATACCGCATAGCTTCTAGTAGTTCCCCTACTAGCCACGCGTTTCAAGTCACCCTTATCTCACCGCATGCGTTTCAACACCCTGACCTTATATCACCGCATGACTTCTAGTAGTTCCCCTACTAGCCATGCGTTTCAAGCCACCCTCATCTCACCGCATGCGTAGCAATATCACAATATTTCACAAATCGTACCTCAAGTGCCCAAATATCACAGCATAATACAACTTGCACCTCAAGTGCCCAAATATTATAATATATCACAAATTGCACATCAAGTACTCAAATATTATAACATATCATAAATTGCACATCAAATGCTCAAATCTTACAACAAATCACAAATTGCACATCAAGTGTTCAAATATTACAACATATCACAAATTGCACATCAAGTGCTCAAATATTACAACTTGCCACAGAAATCAATAACACATTATTTTTTCACAATAAGGAGCCATGACTCAATCATAATGTGCACAACATCTTAACAAAATGTTCGGGAATGAACAACTCAACCGAATAATATTTCACAATTTGGCGCTTTGCCTCAATATGATTCACGCCCTTTATAATTCAATACCAAATTTTCCACAACGTGAACTGAAAAGTAATTCATCTTATTAACTAAATTTTCCATTTTAATTATTTGTAGGTAAAATCAATAATGAAAATATTTTCCATAAAAAAAATGGCAACTCAAACAAACACAGAGTTTACATAAAAGTCAAGTGACAATCATAATAATTTATCCTATAAAAACAACCTCGGCAAACAAAGAATGAGGCATGAAAAATAAGGGATTTAATAAGTTACAATAATTTTCCAACTTAATACTTAAGGGCGTCTACGAATTTCAACCGATATAATTTGCACATATAAACCAAGTACGTACTCGTCACCTCGCGTACATGGTTTTCAATTACATAATTTCCACATG